TTTGTTCTCTCTCTTTGTATAAATCTTCATCTGTTTCTCAATGTTCATTCCACCACAAGCTTTGAAAATTTCTTTATAATTTATGATAAAATATGTTGTCATTGGTAATCTTTCATTTAGCATGTAGTGGTCTTCAACAAGAAGTAAGTCAATAGTTCGAACAGTTTCACATTCTTTTGGTATGTATCTCTTTATTTCATTATGTCTTGAGTCATTGAAGTAACCAATGGTAACATTAAATGCTATACCTGTTGCGTCAGAAATTTCTTGTACTTTACTTTGAGGAAAGTCTCTAACACGAATGACTTCTCTCATGTGGTCAATAGTTTCTTCATTTACTCCAGCCTGAATGCAAGCATAAACGAAGCAGTTATCTTCTGTCATAAGTGTTGCAGTTCTTTTGTTCAGTTCATTGAAGATTTGGTAGCGTTCAAGATTTATAGGTAATGTGCAAAGATACTTCCAGAACTGACCGCTTCTCTTCTTATAAAACTTCTTTTCACCATTATCTTTCCAAAAGCTTTCTATAAGTGCTGGGTTTCCTGTTTGCTTAAGAGCTTCCAAAATGGCTTTCTGGTCATTTGTCAGTGTGCTTTCATCTCTATATGGTCTCTTTTTTGGTTTGCCTTTCTTTACATCTGACATCGTTAAGCCTTCATATTCTGTTAAATCATACATCTTTATTTCGGTAAGATTCTTTATGTTTGTCAAGAAGAAGTCATAGTGCATTTCAACAATACCTGCAGCATTTGCTTCTATCTCTGATATAAAGTTCTCCTTCAAGAGCTGATGTAGTAATGTTCCAATATTATTGAGGTTTAACGTAGAACATTCATACTTTCCACCAAGTTTATAACATACCATCCATCTTTGTTGGGTGTTTATTTTAATTTTCTCTAAGAGTCTCATGAAAACCTTACCGAAATGTTTGTGTAAGTAGTCTCTGTTTGGTTCATCTAAAGCTTCGATGTTAAAGTCAATGAGTCTATTGCCTGTCTTAACATTCCTCTTCCTATTCTCTTCATCTTTCTTTAACCATCTCTCACCTTCTTTTGGTTTGTCGTCAATGGAACGAAGGACATCGTTAGCTTTGCGAACTTGTTCTATAGCACTCTTAAACATCTCTCTTCTCTGCTGTTTCAGTGTGTCGTCTCTTCTTCTTGTTTCACCAACGTTTGCATTTGTTATGTCAAACATTTCTCTTCTTACTTCATGAGGTACTGAACGTCTATGATATAAGTCAATAGCAACGTCATTTAAAGGAAATGCTCTTGCATGGACTTCGTCCTCGCCGCGTTGCGGCTTTATGAACTCATGAATTCTATCATAACTTATTGCACCATTATAGTCATTGAGGATGTCAGCGAGTGCTTTTTTGTTTGTTGTGTAATGCTTTGCAACATCTATATTAGCTTCTGTAAGAAGTTGTTTTATTTCCGAGTGTTCTAACTTAGACAACTTCCGATACATCTTTAGTAGGAAATAAAAAAAATATTTTTTGAAAAAATTAGATTAGATTTTTTTAAGTTATTTTTCAAAATAATTTAATATTTTTATTTTAATAAAACACATGCAAGATTGCAAGTTCTTTTCATACAATGCTCTCGCTACTGCCATCAAGAATGAGTTCAATAATGCTTCAAATGTTAATGTTATCTTTAACAAGAAGTTTGTGAAAGAATCTAAGTTTGGTCAGTATGTCAGACCATTAGCTATCGTCATTGACCGCAAACGTTATACTTCACAAGAGTTAGCAGTAGTTTTGAAACAAAAGAGTTTCTTCGTGAATGTCAAAGATACTCATTATACTGTTATAAAGAACTCTAACATTGACTTCTTCAGTATTGCTTTAAATCTTTCCGAACAGAAAGAATATAAGAAGGGTGAAACAAATGTGAAATATTATCCTTCATCTCTGAAGACAATAACGAACAAAGATGTTATACAGAAGCTCCTACCAAAGGTTGAAGAAGCTTCTATTGACATTGACGAAGGAAGTGAAATGGTTGAAGAAATAGACCCTGAAGCTATTTAAGCAAAAATATATTTTTGAAGAACTGAGGGTGTCACCACGTCACCATGTGTCACCAGGTTAATTAACTTCTCTTAAAATTACTGACAACATGACATTTAGACAACAGCAAAGGAGGAAGGCATTTATGAAATATTTTTGTATAAAATTCCAAACAGTCAGTCGTCATTGACTGACTGTAAAAAATAAATTCAAAGCATTGAACAAAAAAATTATTTTTTTTATTCTTCCTCTTTGAAGTTATCGAAATATTCTGTTATTTTTTCCTTCAGTAATGGTAAGTCTTCTTTGAATGTAAGTATTGTACAACCTTTAATATCATAGTGTGTTTGAGGTAACGTATCTTGAACTATTTGTTTCACATCTTCATTTGGGGTCATTGAAATCGGTAAGTTTTCACGATAGAACCAGTTTCTGTCAGATTTATATATTTTAGCTAAGTCATAAAAGCTCTTGTTGTTTCTTCTGACTAAATGCAACATAACCATGTCACCGTCTTCTTCTTTCTCCAACTCTTCAGTATATATCATATACCTATAACTCTTTTCCTTTCCTTTTGGTACTGAACGCGGTATTCTTTTCTGTATGCTTTTGTCTTTGGATTCAATGACTTCATCTTTTGCTTGAAGTTTCTTTTCCAACTCTCCACGTTCTGCTTTATATAGTTCATCTAACATCATGAAAATATAACAAGCATAACGAGGTGAAGCCCACATTGCTACAGCGTTTACTAAAAGTCTATGAACATAATAACCTTTCAAACCAGGAGCCAAATTCTTGCGATTTTCATACGGAATCTCTTTCCCCGGTTTTCCGAGGGAAGCAATCATATGAGGAAATTCTTCTAAAAGTTCTTTTGTCTGTTGGTTTTCAAACCAATGATATGCTTGTTTTGTAGAACAAAGAGCATTCATTATACTTTGCATTTGGTACATATCGTCTTTGACTGAACGAATGAGACGTAACTGTTTGTTATACTGTATGTATTCGTATTCTTCATTTATGGCTTCATGAACGATAGCAGTTGTTGTGTTCTCTGATGTTGACATTACTGTCTTTACATACAAGATAAAAATTTTTCTTAGAAAAAATTAGCGTTATTTTTCTAACTAATGAAATTCATGAAATTTGGTCATTTTTCAGCAAAAATAAATTTAGGTGAAGTGGTGAGATCTCACCTCTTTTTTCACCTCTTTTTTCACATCTTTTTTCACAAGCGTTTTACATGAATTGTACGATGTATATTTGAAATCCTAAACAATTTCGTAGCTTCTATTTCTTCTTTTAGTACATCGAATGTTTTAATCATGCCGAAAGTCTCTTTATATTTCTTCTTGACGTCAGACAGAAGGAAATCTTCTGCTGTTGGATAGTTTTTATTAAGAAATGTCAACATATCCATTTTATCTTCTGCTGGCTTTTCTGCTTCTTTCTTTAAGTCTGCATAGTCGTTTCGCATTCTTTCTATCTCTTTGACTGAGTAGTTATATTTTCTTATTGCTGCTTTACATTTTGAACATTGCGGATTCATTTTTGCGTTATACATTGAAACATTACCAGCTAAAACAACTAAAGCGTCAATTGCTCTCTTCATCTCAAACATAGCGGGTCTTATTTGTTCATTCCATACTTTACCTCTTCTATCTTTATCTCTTATCTGCCATACACATTTTGCAACTAATGAAACAAAGTTGTCGTATGTCTTAAACTCCACCGATTTATATATGTCAGAAATATTTTTATAAACCATGTCGCAATCTTTGTCCATAACTTTATGGTTGCAATGAAAACCAAGGAATTCATAATTTACTTTACGTATGAATTTCTTAATTTCTACTGAGTCAGTTGCTTTGACTTCAATTTCGTCGAATTCAGGAATAGTTAGTTTTTGCTGCTGAACTTCAGGTAGTTTAGGCAAATGGTCGATGAGGTCCTCCATTTCATAAAGATACTGTTCATTTGTTTCATCTTTCGCACTACAGTCTAAATTACTTGTTAAAAGTTCTTGCTTTATCTTCTGGATTTCTGTTTCAAAAGTATATGAAGAAGGAATAAAGCTTTTCATCTCTACCAACATTGACGTAGGATTCATGACTAACGAGTTTGGTGCTGTAGTTGTGGACAGAGTCCTGCCGTTCGTGGCTTGAATTGTTGTTGTGCCGATTGTTGAAATCATATCTTTTATACAAAATAAAAAAATAAATAAAAATAAAACTAACTTTATTTTTTCTATCTTAAGGAAATTCATGAAAATTCACGAGAAAGCTAAAGCAATCTGAGCCGCTAAGCGGCGAGGGTGAAAAAACAGGTGAGATCTCACCTCTTCACCTAAACATTATTTTTGCTGAATTCAGCAACAAAATGAACGAGGTCAGCATGTATGTAAATACCTTTGAATTCATTTATAACGCCCTTAGTAAGCTCATAAAATGCTTGTTTTGAGGTTGAGCCACTTTTGGCTCGACCGTATTCTTTCATCCAAAACTCAAGAATTTCCTGCATGAATTTTGTATAAAAACCAACCGTCTGAATTCCGGCGGTTGCTATATTCTTCACAAAATGCCTTATAATACTCTTCCCAGGACTTATTTTCCAACAACTTTCTAAAGTCTTTCCTAAACTGCTGACACATCTTTGTTGCATTAATGTAACCATCCTTGTCTCTACGTAAGACTTCAATACCGTTATAAGTGCCTTTTGTGAATGTTTCGCCATTAGATTTGTTCGTGAATGCTTTTGCTTCGACTGACATTTCTGTTCTTACATACAAAATAAAATAAATAAAACTAACTTTATTTTTTCTATCTTAAGGAAATTCATGAAAATTCGTGAGGGTGAAAAAACAGGTGAAAAAACAGGTGAAATCTCACCACTTCACCTAAAAATTATTTTTGGTGTAAATAAATGGTACCATTAATGATATCATGACTGTTCTCATTCATGTCTGATTTACATCTAATGAAAAAGTTTAGAAGAATTTTCTTATTCTTTCTGGCATATTTTTGTCTTTCCAGTACTCCCGCTCTAATGGTCCCAGATGTGTTGGCTTCGACTCTCTCAAGTTCTTAGATGGTATAACATCTTCAACGCCTCCTTCATATCTTACTTTATAAGTGTCATCGTTTATGTTGTAGCCAAGTATTTCAATAACCACTCCTCGCTTTGCTTCGTCAATGGTTTCAGCAAGTTTGCCATTACTACTTTCAACTAATTTATGACGAGGATAAAACGCAATAGAGTCGTCGGCAGCTTTTATAAGATATCCATTACCTTGCGTAGAGTCTACGATATAATAGTTTCTACTTAACCTTAAACGTTTCTTTGTCAACGGTTTGTCGTCAAGAACTACACGAACTTTTGTACCAGGAATGAGGGTAAATTGTGTTGAATTTCTGATATTTTGTGTTTGGCTTCGTTTCTTTTGTATATACTTTTCTTCTTGTTGTTGTGTCATTAAATTTGGTGTATGTCCTGTTGTAGAATGTGTTGAGGAATTATATACTTCGAGAAAATGTTTCATTGTTTCTTCGGTAAAGTCTCGCTCTTGATTTAAATCTCTAAGAGTCCTTATGAAGCGGTTTATGATGCCGAGTATGTTATGGTTATGGTCTTCAGTAGTGTAGTGAGTTATGTTATGCTTAATGAGAAATTCTGTGATTTCATTACTGAGGTATGCACTGTCTTGGTCTGATGTTAAAGTACTTGGGCTATGTTCTGCTACAAACTTTTGTAAAACTCTTAAAACTTCATGAGTTCCTTTATTTTTCATTATATACGCAAAAGCTTTGCGAGTGTTAACATTAATGAAGATGAGGAATGGTTTATGTCCTCCTTTTCTGCTTTGAATGAGAGTGTCAAATTGGTATGCGTCAGGAGTGTTGGAGTAAATTGGTAAAAAGTAGTCGTAGGGGTTTATTTTTGTTTGATGTACAACATTTTTGTCAAAAAACCTTTTCACTTCAGCTCTGTTAGTAAATCCCCAACTCTTTGCAGCTTCATTGAATTTCTTAAATGACCTCCATGGATGTTGTTCGAATACTTCTTTCAAGCTCATTTATGTAAAGTTAAAGATTTTATTCTAGGCTCAAGCGCGTTCATTGAACGCGGTACCATGCGAATACAGTCACAAATGGTGGCATGTAATCTTTACCCGAGCCTGTTGGATTTGTTGTGAAAGTGTGTGAATGATTTCCTGCGGTTCCACAGAAAATACCTGCGCCTGAATCTACTGGGTCACTTGAAATATCATATCTATTCATTCCCTGTCTATCTGAACCTGCTGCAAGATTTATAAAACCTCTTTTTGTTATTGAATGTGTATGATTACCTGTTGTGTTTGTCGTTCCTGTATGAGTGTGCGCAGGTAAGTTTGCTTCTTTAATTTTCTTCGAACCTCCTGTTTGCTTTGAATATCTAGCACAGTATAAGAATTTATCTACAATCTGCTTCCACGTACCAAAACCTAAAACTGTTTCTGGATTTGTTGAATTCATTGACGTATAAATAGAACCAACAGGATATAATGTTTGAAGTATTTCAGTCTTTAATGTTTGAAGCTCTGTTTTGTCTGCTTTCTTATCATATAAATCTTGAGCAGTGAATTTAACATTATTTTCATCATCCATGACATAAACATTTTTACAGCTAATTTCTTTCTTCGTTGTTATGTTTTCATTCGATGTTAAACCTTGTGGAAAGTTAGGAGGTTTATAATATAATGCATCCCCACCAGTTCCGCCAACCGTTCCTTCAATACTTTCTATAGCAACAGTTGAGAAGGAGTTATGTGTATGTTCTTTATCTGCTTTTTTATCTAACATTGCTGGTAGTTCGTATGCTTCAAAGTTTCTGACATGACCTTCAATATTAGTGCATTTGTTATTTAAGGAGTTTAGTGTATCTTTTACGCTTGTACTTGGATTCTCTAAAGGTGCACTTGAACCAAGGGTATAGTTCAATATTATGTCGTCTGCTCTAACAGTAGTGAAGGATTCATGTGTATGGTTCTTATCTGCTTTTTTATCTAATGTAGCTTGAAGTTCATTTATATCGGAGATATTGTGTTTATGAGATTTCAAAACTTTGTTCGTTGCGTCAAGTTCATCTTTGTCAGCTTTACTTTTAATAGCATCTTCAAAAGTTATTTTTGCCTTAACTCTCAAAGTAAATCTTGGTTCAACTAATACACCGTTAACAAAGAAGTATGAAGCATAAATTTCATTGTTATAACCAAATGCTTCTGGTGCTTTACCTGTGTCATACTGTACAGTACAGTGTATGTCATAACCTTTAGCACGAATGAATTTATATCTTCTTTCATTAACATCTTCAGTGCTTATTTGTTCATCCTGTGTTAAATATCCATGGTAGTCCGTTATAATCTGTTCGTCTGAACTTATATAATGAACATGGTTTTTATCTGCTTTTTCGGCTAATTTCTCTTCTATCTCATTTATTTCAAGTTCATGCCTACCACCACCTCCCGAAGAAGTATTTTTCTTCAGCTCTTGAAGAACGTCCACTTCGCCATCTTTGGTGTCAATAATGAGACTTTGAGTTAAAACCTTTCCTGTCTTAATGGATGTTTGTAAAACTTCTTCTTCACCGTGTTCAGGGTCATGGTCGTCATCATATCTTGCGAAATCAGAGATGTTGTCATACATTAAGCATATCTGTCTCAAAAGTTCTGCTATTTGAAACTGGAACGAAAGATATACAGAACTTTCATCATCTCCTAAAGTCAAGTCTGCTTTCTTAAGTATTTCTTGAATGTATGCAATGAGAACAGAGTACCTTGGAAAATATTCGAACAATATTTCATTAGCTGTTGGTTTTGGTGGTTCTTCTGGAGTTTCTGTTGTTTCAGTTCCTTCTGTAGGTTCTGTTGGAGTTTCTGCATCTCTTGACTTCAATGCTCTTGCTCTCAAAGACCTAAATGTTAGAGCACCAGGTTTTACAAAGGACTTTATAAATGCTTTAATAGTTCCTGGTAAGTTATTGTTAGCATTAAGTAAGTTCCTTATGCTTCCATCATGTACGTCCATAGCACTATGTAAAAAATCTATACTTTTCTTGTAGTCAGCAATAGACTGACTGTGATTTTTTAAAGATTTGTCAATACCTTTAAGCCAATCTTCATGCATGTCTGATACTGAGCCAAGAATATCACTTGCTTCCTTTAGTGTATTTTGTGCTTCTCGTAAAGTATCCAATCCCGTACGTGCATTGTTTGCTATACGTCTTACAGTATCTATTTGACTCCTTGTTTCTTGCATCCAACCAGATAAAGTTTTAATAGTATCCGAACCATTTGAAATGAAGTTCAAAGCATTTTTAACGTCATCTAAAACTTCTTCACCAAGTACTGCCCATATCTTTCCGATTTGGTATTGAAGAACTCCATATGAAGCAGCTGTTAAACCAGTATTTATAAGGTTCCATATCCATGATTTAGCAGTTTTTCCATCCTTTCCATCTTCACCATCCAAACCGTTTTCGCCTTGAGGTCCTTGTATTCCTTGTATTCCTTGTATTCCTTGTGGTCCTTGAGGTCCGGTGTCACCATTCTCTCCTTTCAGTTCATCTTTATGTTCGTTATAATATTCTAATGTCATAAGGTGTACATCATTACTGCTACCAATAACTCCTAATATTTGTTTCTCATTCATGACTAAATTCTTTAGGCATTTAATGTTGTCGTCAAATCGAAAGCTCTTTAACAATTCAATGAGAACATTCAGTACTTTCACTAATGAGGCATCTACTGTAGAATTTATATATTGCACCGTTCCATCATTTATGATAGGAACTTTACTTATTGTAATGAATGGGTCATAAGTGTTAAAAGTATCGAAATCAATGACTGTTTTAGTTTTTCCATCGTCAATGACTAAATCATTGCCTTCAATGGTTAAAGTTGAGTTTTCGTTTACTAGTTCATGTGCTTTTCTTGCTTCATTTGTTTCATACGCATATGCAGCAATAGTCATATTTTAATGAGAATAAAATGTTGTTCTATTTGCAAAGTACAGACCCAAACGAATACGGGACAGTAAAGCTACAAACAAACTTAGGACTTCAGAATGAAGCACTTGCTTTCAGAGTTGTTGACTTCAATACTATCGCAACTTTTGTCATAACAGATGAAACAGATTTCATAGAGATTGAAATAGATGACAAAAGAAGTGTTATAACATTTCCTAACAGAGCTGGGTATAGAATAGATAAAATTGCTGGAGTCATAAATACTCTCATAAATGAAGAAGCTATTGACAACATAGATGTCGAACTCTCTTCTGAGGGAACATTAAAGTTCAGCAGCGAGAAAGAGTTCAAGATAACACGAATGAGTCATAGAGTACAACTTCTTTTGGGTGCATACTATATGACATTTCCTTTGAAAAGTGTTGACAAAACGATTGAGATGAAATCTGTTCCATACGTATGTTATGGTAATTGTTTATACATTGAGTCTAAAATAGCTAATGTCACAGGCATTTCGGGAGTTAATAGTAAAGGTTCAGTAGAATATAAATCCTTCTGTTATGCAGTCAATTCAATGTTCATTCCAAACGTTCCTGTCATAGCAACTCATTTAGGTAAATGGGTTCGCATTAGTCCTCATAATTTGAAAGACATGCAATTCAGACTTGTTGACTTTCAAGGAGAGCCTGTAGAACTGAAGGCACCAGTGCGAATGACTGTTGAAGTTGACTTTTTAGAAAATATTAAATGCAACAGCTTACAAGAGAACTCAGAGCTAAAAATATAAAGTATGAATGTTATGTATTAGGTCATGAACTTTGGTTGTTGCTGTTTGATGAAACAAATGAGTTAGTTATGTCAGTCAAGAGAACAGAAAAATATTGTGTTAGTGAAAACTGCACCAAGTCAATAAGATTAGGTTTGCATTATGAAGATGAGTTCGATACTGTTGAAGAAGTTTTGGATAGATATTACAAATTGCTAACTTGAAATTTTTTGACTGACGGCGCAAAGCGCCAAGACCGAAGGTCCTGACTGCTTTAATTTACTAAAACATATTTCAAACAAAGTTTATATTCTGTTGAAAGTTTTGTATATTCATTCGAATATTTATACTTAAACTCAACTCCTGTAGTTCCTGGTGTTTCAATGATGCGGATGTTACCTATTTTCATGAATAGTGGAGTTTGACCACAGCATTCGATTTCAGGGTCGAGATAGTCAATGACACATTGTTTCCCTGTTATTCGTGATATAACATTTTCAAGGTCCTCCTTTGTTAGAATTATTTGGTTCTTGCTTATAAGATTTGTCAAAAGCTTCTTATCGTCTTTGAGTAAAATTGTTTGGTATAACTGAAGAAGGTAATGGTCTACGTTATCTGAAGGATTTGTTTGAACATTTGTGTAAGGGTTGTCGTTGGCTTCTCTTGAAAGAACTTGGTCCAGTGGTGGATACTCTAACTTAACA